ACACGGGCACGCGCACGCGCACACAATTATGCCCAGCTATCTATACCTTGGATCTGGTGGGATCGCAGTCCAACCTGATCATCAGACTCCCCAGAGCTAAGGGCTTTAAGGAAGCCACGCAGTCTGCAAATGTTTGCTCCCAGGAGGCTGGGGCGGGCAATGCTTTCTGTAGGCAATCAGTTTGAAGCTGGTGAACCCAAGGCTCACCAAGGTCGCATTCTCTGTGAACAGGGTTTCCCAAAGAACAGGAAGTTAGACAACTGAGGCTAGAGGTTCCGGGTGGGCATATCAGTGTATGTCCTGTAAAAATGTCTTCTCTCTTAAATAAATAGAGATGGATGGATGGATGGATGGATGGATGGATGGATGGATACAGTTAAGGGGCAGAGCTGTTAAGAGCACATACTGTTCTTCCAGAGGACCTAAGTTTCATTCTCAATACTCAAATCAGGTGCATCACAACCACCCGTAAAGTCAGCTCCAAGGGATCCTACACCTCTGGCCTCCTTGGGTTTCCACACTCACGTACAGACACCCACACCCAAACACCACAAACACATAATTAAAAATAAAATAACTTTTACACTTGATCTTAGCCAAAAGGCCGAGAATTGATATAAAATAACTTTTAAAACAGGGTTATATTTTGTTTTTGTTTTGTTTTGTTTTGTTTTTCGAGAACAGGTTTCTCTGTGTAGCCTTGGCTGTCCCGGACTCACTCTGTTGACCACGCTGACCTCGAACTCACAGAGATCTGCCTACCTCTGCCTCCCCGAATGCTGGGATTACAGACGTGTGCCCCTGCACCCAGATAGGGTTAGATTTTAATTACTCTAGAATTTATTTAAAGCTTTATTTATTATGTATACAGTATTCTGCCTGCATGTACACCTGGGATCACACTCTGCTAGAAGTCATGGCTCCCTAGAGGCTGCTTGGATCTGATTAGTGACGATCCCAGGCATGAAGCAGCCGGCACTTGGATCTGGCTCCAGTGGCGGCAGCAAACTTCAGCAGGGGTCACTGGCCAGTGTTTCTGAAGGAGATGGCGCTGACATCGACAGGGTTCTGGGTGGCAACGATAGGAGCTACGGGCAACAGCTTCTCCTGGCTCCTGTTCAGATTTTTGGTGTAGATACCACTTTTCCTTTTGTAGATGTACTGGTCCATCTGGGTGTCAGGGTTGGTGCCTCTTCAGTGAGTTCCTGCGGCCAGGAATTCAAGGACATCCTCCTCCCCTCCTCCCCCTGGGGGATATCAACAGCTTTAGACATTGTGTGAGCTTCCCTTTAAGTTAGAATGGGAATCAAGAACAACGCTGTACAGAAAGCATTTAATTTCATTTTTGAGACAGGGTGTGTGTGTGTGTGTGTGTGTGTGTGTGTGTGTGTGTGTGTGTGTAGCCCAGGCTGACCTCAGACTCACTAAGTAGACAAGGATGACCTTCAACTCTTGACCGTTCCTGCCTCAACCTCTCAAGTGTTATATTTACAGATGTGAGCCACCAAACACTGCATTTTGTTAAAATTTGTATTTATAGAAGTCAAACTTGCTTGCTGCAATTGTTCAAACCACACTGACGTATAAAAAGTAAGTGGTCCCATTAAAAAAAAAAAAAGGCCCTTCTTGGGCTCATGAGATGGCTCAGTGGATAGATGCACATTTCTTACATAAGCCCAGGGACCTAGGCTCAACCCCCAGGATCTATGCAATGATGGAAAGAGAGAACAGACTCTGCCAAGTTGCCCTCTGACCTCCACACTCACACTATGGCACGCATGCCCGGCTGTACATACACACACACTCACTAAGAAGATGTTAAGTTATAATGCCTGTGGTTCTACAAACACACATATTTCCCCATGCCAATCATAAGCAAAGGTTTTCCAGCTGTTTATGATTGGTGTGGGAAAAATATGTGTGTGTTTGTATAAACACACTGTTGGAAAGATCCAGAACAAGTTGGGTTCGTGGCAGCAAGCTCTACCACTTAGCCCTTCATCGTAGCTGTGTGTTCAAGGGAACAGAGATGGGAGCCTGTGAAGCAGCTTACAGCAACCAAACAGACCATCCAGTGAAGTGCCTGGTGAAGGGCTGTCCCTGCTCCCCACGACTGCCTTTTGATGAAAGGGAACCTGCTCGTTGTGAAAGGATAGAAAGCAGATGTTGGGGGAATATTGCTGTGCAGTCTTGTGACACATCTTGTGTTTGTTCCGGGAAAGGAAGAGCAGAAGTGTCCTGCAGCAACTGGAATACACTAGAAAAAGACTCACTTAAGACTATCAGACAAGTGAGGTCTTGAAAAAGGATGACCACTGGGTGGCAGTGTGGGCCCAGCAGTCAGGGAAGACTGGCGCGGTAATGAGGAAATAGCCACCGGCTTGCACAGAGCTTGAATGCGGCAAGTAGGCAGGCAGTTTGGGCAGAACAGGACCACACCCCAGTTCCCGGGGTGCAGGTGAGAGGCATAACATAGTCAACTTCACAAAAGACTACTGGAGGGAAAATAGTTTTCACAGAACGTCCTATTCCCTGACCTCTGCAGGAGATGCTCTTAAGGGGATACCCGGATGCTCTGATAGAGACTAGAGTGAGGACAGAGAAGGATGCCTAGGAGTTTTCAGGTTACCATGACCTAGAGAGGAAATATGTGGAAGGATATAGAGCCTTGGCTGCAATCCACTACTTGCTAGCTGTAATATCTAATCCTGTGTCTTAAAGTCTGATCCTGTGACTGCAAAATGAAACTAGAATTTGCTGTGTCTAGCACATGGTAAGTGTTCAGGAGTCACAGTGAGCATTTGGGCCCTGGAACCCACATAGTACGTGGAGAGAAGTGACACCCTCAGGTTAGCCTCTGACTCCATGTGAGCGCCACGGCACCTACAAACACATGAAGACACCCACAATTTTAAAAAAGAAAATCAGGCTGCACAGCAGTGGCAGATGTCTTCAATCCCAGCACGAAGGAGGCAAAGGCAGGTGGGTCTCTCTGTGAATTCAAGGCAGTCTGGTCTATACAGAGTGAGTTCCAGAACAGTCAGGGCTATAAATAGAAACCCTGTCTCATAAATACATACATACATACATACATAAATAAGTGAAAACCACAGCTCTGTTGCATGACACCTGTTAAAATCCCCCATATTTTCATACCAGTGTGGTTACAGACAGTACCTACTAAAGAGTTAGCAGCCGTACAGGGAGCCCACGCTCTCTGGGTACCCCAACTCCATTCTATCCACATTCCAAGAAACTGGCTCCTTGTCCTGTACGCATTACTTTGATTTTTGTTTCTTATAGGGCTTTCTCCCCTCCACCAGCCCTTTGGCCCTAGATAAGAGAGAGGTCAGTGGGGAAAGGGGTCGTAGTTCTCTTTGGCTACTTCCTGATGCTTAGGATTGTTGGATTCCTTGGGGCAAGTCTAAGCTTCATTTCAGGATGTCTCCAACTTCTTCTTCTGAAACTGCATTAACAGCAACCAGGGATGGGGGGGGAGAGAGGGGAGGGGCATCAGCAACCTTCTTCCTCATAGTCTCTCTCTGGGCCCTGGCATTATTCCCCCACCAGAGTCCTCAGAATTAAACTATCTGTAGCTGGCAAAGAGTCTCCACCCAGAAGCCACACACGAGGCAAATTGTTTGCTGCTGTGGACCATCGGAATCAGCCCCTTATCCCACACCTGGGATTAAAACAAAAACATGTTTACATAACACAGCTGAGTTTTTAAAGACACCAAAACTTCCACTACCTTTCTGTAGTCTGGGAGCCCTGATTGGGTTACTCGGAGCCTAACTTCCCCTCCAAGGCAGCTACAGAGATCTGGGTTCCTTGGAGTCATTTCTTATCTTCCTTTTCACAGGGTTTAATCTGTAGCTCTCTATCTTGGGTGGGGCAGCCAAAGCCTTGCCTGTGCTGGGGAAAACCCCAGCCACTTACTCAGGATGCTGTATACTGCCAGAAGCCTGTCAGCCTTGCCAATGATCTTATAGCTACCCTTTCTGAGGAACCTGGGTGGAGCATCACGTGCAGAGGGCAGAGACCCGCACACCGGGCGAGTGGAAGAAGCGGCTCTTCCAGATCTTATATCTGCATAGCCTGAACCGATGGTCTGGAGGGAGTTCTCACAGACTCCATAGTCCTTCAGTACGCTCCTCAGTAAACCGGACATGGTGGCTTAGCCTGTAATTCCACATTGTACTCCTGCACTCAGAAGTTTGGGGCCAGCCTGGTCTACACACTGGGTTCCAAGCCAGCCTGCATTCTGTCTCTGGTGAGTTACTGAGAATGAAATACTGCAAGTTCTCTGTTGTACAGGAGAGCAGCGCCGCTGTTCTGTCCCTAACCTCAATGATCCCATCTCCAAACAGTCTCCCTCGGCTTGAACTCGGGTTTCTTACAGCATTTGGTTGGACCTCACCAACTCACAGACCTGGCTATCTATCTGTCTCCTTAAGAGGCTCATTTCCCCCACTGGAGGTCCACTCAGATCAGGCACAGACGGGATGGGCTCATTTTATACAAAAGATTAGATGTAGCCTGAATCCTTTAGGCCGTGGTGACCACAATGGACCTGCTTATTTCCTCGGCCCCCTTAGGCACTCCACGCCCCTCCCCAAGTCTCTCTCCAGACCTCAGGTCTCACCAACCCACCACACGGCGTCCCGCTGTAAGCGAGAGCCAACAACAGGGAGCCCTAGCACAACCTCCGTTCCGCTAGGAGCAGCCAGCCAGGAGGGCCCCTCGAGGTAGCAGGGAGAGAAGCGCACCCATCCCCAAAGAAGCAGACGGAATCTGGCCTCGAGTTGCCGGAGTCGCGTCCGTATTCCTCCTTAACTTGCCCCTAACCCAGTTTTTCTCTCTACCAGTCTCTAGGTCCCGCCCCACTCGGCTACGTCAGTCCAGGGTCCGTGCACTTCAATTGGTCCGCCCGGCTGCTCGGCTCACCTCCAGCGATGCGATTGGTCCGCTCGAGACGCTCCCGCCCAGTTTTCCTGGAAAGTTCTTGGAAATCTGTCAAAGGTGTTTCCTTTTTCAATCCAAAGCCCCAGACGCCTGCGCCCCTGCCGCCGCAAAGCCTGCGGTTCTAGGAAGATGCGGCTTCCGGGAAGGGCTGGGACTCAGCGGACAAAAGATTAGGAGGCGCCTGGCCCCGCCCCGCCTGCCCAGCCCGTCCCCCTTGTCCTTCCAAGCTGCTCGCGCCACCGCCTCTCAGTCCCTGATCGCCGCCCGTGCGCCCCGGGACCCTGACCTCCGCGCCCTTGGCACCCACTGGCTCCCTTCTGCTTCCGTCCCCGCCGAGCCCCAACTTTCGAGCGGCCGTTGCCTCTGGGACATGGTCCTTTGCGTACAGGGGTAAGCTCAGTTCTTTCTCTGCCCGGGCTTCGTGCGGGAAGCCCGGGAAATCACAGGCCTCGAGCTAGCTGCGGGATTTGGGATGGCTCGACCGGTGGAGGGTGATGGAGTACGAAAGGTGTGCCTAGGAGACCCCCCCCCCCCACGCACACACAGTATGGATAGGGAAACGGGGCTGGCGCGCGGTGGGAGGAGCCCCCATTCCTCAGATCTCGCTGGCGCCAACTGTAAACGGTCCCCAAGGACGGGGCTCACAAGTCTAGACCTCTGTTTGAGCCCAAGAGCCTACCTAGCCTTCCAGCTCCGTACCCGTCAGTGTCCTTGAGCCAGCTCCTAGACCCTTCTCCGTTCCGGTGTTCGTTCCTCCGTCCCGAAGCACTCCACACCTTCTCTTAGCCCAGATTGAGGTCTCGGCGGGATAAAAAGACTAAAGCCTGCCTTCGCTAACGTTTCCCGGAGGCATGGACTATGGGACCATGGTGAGAGTGGATCTTCGATTAAAAAAAAAAAAAAAAACAGTCTTGGCCACAGCTGAGTGGTCTCGGCACACCTGTTCGCCCTAGGTCTCAGCAGCCTCTTTCAATCATTGATCAGGAATTCAGGAAGCGCCGAGAAGAGAGCAAATATAGTCAACCCGGGGAGAGCTGGGTGGTCCAGGAGTGGTTGGGTACCAAGTGAGGAAGAGGGGGGACGTGGGGCCGGGCTGAAGTGCGCTCGCTGTAAAGCAGCCCTGGGTCCCAGAAGGAGGACCCGGAGGTTCTGGAAAGACTCTTCCCTGGTAGCTACCACCACGTTCCTTCAGTCTCTGAATTTTGGGACTCCTCAGCCAGACCCACACACACTGCCTTCCTTCTTGGGCGGCCCCCTTCTCTCTTCTGGGTTCCCGCAGCCTCTCTGACTGCCTTCACTGAAGGCCCAGGGAACCTCAGGGCCAGGATTGGGGTATTGGGGAAATGATTTTTAACAGACTGGAATGTATCCCACCCTGCCCGGCTTGGTTCATCTCACTGGCATGTGTCCTCAGGCGGGACTTCATGGCTAGACTCCAAGACATGCACACACAGGTTCTTGGAACACACTAGCCCTCACCCCCACGGTGATGACACAGTGGGAGACGCACCCCTCCCCAGGAGTCCCTCCCCAGTAACCTGTGGGGATTAACGTAGTCATTCTACACCTAGACACCATACTGGCCCTGGAGATGCCCACGGTATAGCCAACGGAACCTATACAAGGGGCCTTACTAAGCTGTCTGGTCACACCTCCCGCAGAGGCTGTGCAGTGATTGGCTAGCTGCCCGCATGCTCTCAAAAAGTGCCTGAATCAGGCTATGGGCCCCAGCAGGCAGGTCACCTCAAAATTTTGCCTCTAGCACCCTAAGTGGGATTCCAGAGCTCTCACGGCACAGTCAGTGGAGGCGTGGAAAAACCCTTGGTGGACCAGAGCCTGTCACCCCTCCTCATGAGTGGCCACAGGACCATGACCTTCTAAAAACCACTTAACACCGCAGGGTTGGCTTCTCTCCTTGCTAACTGCTACCAGCTCCTAACTACCCCTTGTTTACAAGCAATACCTGATACACTGTTGCCTTCCCCAGGGAGTGTGGGCAGAGCCTAGGGTTTCATTATCTTGAGGTCCTAAGATTCAACAGGGAACTAGACACAGAACGGAGGCCTGGGGACGTATTTTATTAAAAGATTAGAGAGAGCCAACTCTTTCTTCCCCAAGAAGCAGGGCCCCTGGCTCACCTGCTGGGTGGGCTTTCTCTAGGAAGATTTCAGCCACCTCAGTTCCCCTAACCCCAGCCCTCTAATACTGCAAACCCCTCAGGGCAAGGAGGCCCTCATCTGGAAGGAGAAACCACAACCAGAGAGGAGCGGACTACATAAACACCATACAACCTAGCAAGGCTGGCTTGACAGGTGGACTCTGGAATGTGGGCTGAGGACCCTGCCCTTTGGTAGGAGCCCATATTATGAGAGTTGAGATTCATCACTGCCTTTAGAGGACACTGGCTTCCCTCAGCTGGGAGGGGCAGAGCCCAGAATGGGACTCTAGCCGGTATGGATAGGAGCTTATTTAAGTCTTCAAGTTTTAGCCAGTGTGGACTGAAGTGCCCCTCCTCCTCGCTCCACACCTCTCCCCTGTAACAGATACCCCTGTTGAGAGGAAGCTACCCTGTAACCTTAGGCTTTCTACTGTAATCTTAAGGTCTTCCTGAGAACTCCACCAGCTACAGTGGTATTTAACAGGCTACCTCAGCCAGGAGGGCACAACTGTGAGATAGCTTTGGCACTGGTGGGTTCCCGGTTCTTGTGGTAGGAATGCTGAAAGTGCTCATAGGGAATGGTCTGTGGTTTTGGTAATACAAGATGAGGGTTAATTTGTATCTAGTAAATGCAGGAGAGTAGAAAAGAATGTTTCAGAAGAGGTTCCATGAAAACGGGGGAATGGGTGTATATAGCTCAGTGGTAGAACACTGCTTACTTAGCATGTGTGAACCTCTGTGTTCAGTTCTCAGCACTGGGAGAGAGAGAGAGAGAGAGATTTGTATGTAGGAGCTGGGTGTGGTGGCACACACCTTTAGTCCCAGCATTGGGAGACAGAGGCAGGTGGATCTCTGTGAGTTTAAGGCTAGCCTGGTCTATATAACAAGTTCCAGGGCTATATAGCCAGGGCTATATAGTGAGACCCTGCTATTAAAAAAAAAAAAAATCTGGGGGCCAGAGAGATGGCTTAGCAGTTAAGAGCACTGGCTACTCTTCCAAAAGATTCTGGTTCAATTCCCAGCAACCACATGGTAGCTCACAACTGTCTATGACTAGAGTTCCAGGGGATCTGACATCATCACACATACATACATGCAGGCAGAACACCGTAAAATAAAATAAAAGTAAATTATTCTTAGCAATCTGTTTATTTGGGGGAAGCGAGCAAAGGACTTTTCTAAAAGTGAAGATCTGTTGCCCATCTGCCCACTCTAGATCTTGTCCTTTGCTGGCTCTGGAGCAAATTGGGCAGCGGCCTCTGTGGGCCCAGTCCCTGGAGCTGCCTGGGCCAGCCATGCAGCCCTTGCCCACTGGGGCATTCCCAGAGGAGGTGGCCGAGGAGACCCCTGTCCAGGCAGAGAATGAACCAAAGGTGCTAGACCCTGAGGAGGACCTGCTGTGCATAGCCAAGACCTTCTCCTATCTTCGGGAGTCTGGTGAGTCTTGGGGGAGACACAGACCCTGTTGTGGGAAGTCTGTGGAGTTGCTAAGCACTATGGACTTTGATTCTGGTTTGGGAAGCATAGTCCTGCCCCTAAGACTGATGGTAGACATACCCATCTCCAGGGAAACGGAAACGTGAAGGACAGTCCATCCTGATCTACCCTGGGTTGGTGCCCTTAGGTAATTTCCACTCTGACCAGTCCTCCTCTCTACTTGCCTAGGATGGTATTGGGGTTCCATTACAGCCAGCGAGGCCCGGCAGCACCTACAGAAGATGCCAGAGGGCACATTCCTAGTACGAGATAGCACACACCCCAGCTACCTGTTCACTCTGTCGGTCAAAACCACCCGCGGCCCCACCAATGTGCGCATCGAGTATGCCGATTCTAGCTTCCGGCTGGACTCCAACTGCTTGTCGAGACCTCGAATCCTGGCCTTCCCGGATGTGGTCAGCCTGGTGCAGCACTATGTGGCCTCCTGTGCTGCTGACACCCGGAGTGACAGCCCGGATCCTCCTCCCACTCCCGCCCTGCCTATGCCTAAGCAAGATGCCCCTGGCGACCCCGTGCTGCCCGTCCCCGTGGCGACTGCTGTGCACCTGAAGCTGGTGCAGCCCTTTGTCCGCAGAAGCAGCGCCCGCAGCTTACAGCATTTGTGTCGCCTGGTCATCAACCGTCTGGTGGCCGACGTGGACTGCCTACCGCTGCCCCGGCGCATGGCCGACTACCTCCGACAGTACCCCTTCCAACTCTGACTGGGCCTGGCACCCTGCCCTGCCTCACACAGTTACAGCCTGGAGGGGACACAGGCCCTAGCTGGACTTGGAGTCCTGCTGTCCCTTCTTCAGTCATCCCGGTGCCAGCATGCATGTGACAGCTGGGCCAGAAAGTGCCAGCAAGAACAAGGCTGGTGGAGGAAGGGTTGCCACACAACTCTGAGGTCAATGCCTCTAGGTCCCATATGGCTCCTTGTGGTGAGTCATGTGTCAGACAAGAGTGAGACAGGCAGGACCTTGTCTCACCCCAGAGGCTGGACCCAGGTCCCCATTCACTCGCCTGCCCTAGCCACCCAAATGTTGTCAGTCTCCCAGACCTGGTTTCTCAATCTGATGGGTAGGGCAGGCCCCCTCCCCACCTGTAGAGCAGATAGCCCATCTCTGGGAGAATATCAGCCAGAAGAACTGAGGTTGGTGATGCCAGCCCCCTTGTGAGGAAGCAGACTGGGCTGAGGGACTACACAGTTATACAGTATTTATTTATTTATTCTCCTGGCAGGGGTCGGGGGTCAGATGATGGCATGAGCCATCCCACTTCTCTGCCCTAAGCCTTGGGTGGTCCAAAGACCCCCCAGCTCTGGTTCTTCCCTGTGGAGACCCTCACCCCGAGTCGTATTATTGGGCCCAAAGTAGTCCCGAATGTCCAGGCCCTGACCCCCTGCATATGGGGTCACCCTCTTTTTCTCCCTGGCCTCTTGGGAGGCTGGGTAACCAGACAGACAGGAGCCAGAAACACAGAGCTCACTCTCCTCTCCTCTCCTCACTGGGCAGTGCCATGGCTTCATAGAGCTGGCTTCTCTGTGGTGCGGCCTCTGTGGAGGGGCTTGTGCTGGGTCAGGGAAGGGATGCTGGCTCAAGGGCTGCTGATGCAGCTCTTTCATGTCTTCTTCCCACCCAGGAAGTTGCCTGCATGTGAGAGAGGGAGGAATACATGCCTGACAAGACTTTATAAAGCAATTATAACATGAGAACCACTTTGATAGTTTTCCTTCCACCGGTTTTTCTGTAATGGTAATAAAATTATGCCTTCCATTTATGAAGCCTTCTCTGGGGCTCCTGGAGTCGTGCATAGTTTATCCCCTTTTGGAAAAGCCGAAGCTCAGAACCTTAACGACTTGGCAGTCTCTGCCCGGGGAGGGGTGCAGGGAATAGAGCTGCCTTTCTTCTCACCTTCCCCCTTGTTCTCCTCGGGAGATGAGAGACAGGAGGTAAAGGTCTATTGGCTTCCCTTCTGGGGTGCTATCCATTGTGCTACTGGGTAGGGAGGAAGCGGGCAGGAGAAAAGCAAGAAGAGGAAGTATCCATTCAAAGTGCAAGTGGGCACAGAGGGCACTGACCTGAGGAGCCACAGGACTCAGGCCAGCCTTACAAAGAGAAAGTATAGTGGACACAAAGGCACTAAAGTGTGATGAGGGGCCTGTGAGGGCTCTTCCTGGCCAATGTGTCAGGGATAGTGACCAATGAGCTGGTAGGGTCTGGCCTGGGGTGGAAGTATCAGAATTTTGGCTCACGTGGTCTGGGGGTCAGCGGACCCTCTCAGTCAAGATCTTGTTACATCAGAAATACAATTAAAATGAACACTGTCCAGGGTTGATGGACTGACTCGAGACTTTTTAGGCTGCTGAGATCCTACTATGGTGTGAGGGCCTTAGGGCAAAGCTCCTCTAAACTTCTCAAAGCCTTTAAACCTTACTGCAGAAACAATTCTGGATGTGTTTGTTCTTGGTCCTGAGAACAGTAGAAGTTGCAAATGACAGGAGGCCAGTAATGTTGGCTTGAGCGCAGGAAGCTGTGAGGACTGGCATCTTGATAAGGAAGAGGCTAAAAAAATAAACAACCTAGAATCAGGGAGGCCCAGGCAAGGAGGCAGTGGTGACAAAGAACAGGAATAACACTGTGAGGGCTGGAAAGATGGCTCAGAGGTTAAGAGCGCTTGCTACTCTTTCAGAGAATCAGTGTTCCCAGCTCTAGTGAAACTAATGTTTTCTTCTGGCCTGTGTGCACCTACACACACACACACACAAATACAAACAGACATTGGGTTAGTGTGAACAAGAGGTGAATGAACGAGGGATAATACTTTAAAACTAGGAGTAGTGTCAAAGCCCAGCTCTTCAGTCTGAAACCTTCCTCACTGCCGCCAGCAGCTGGTAAAACCTTTACTGGCTGTGGGGCCCAACAGTTCGCCTTGTCCAATTGTCATCATGGCCTTGGTAGGGTCTTTTCTCCAACTTTGATCTTAGCCTTCTTGTGGTTCCTAAAATATGTAAGGCGATCCCTATTGCTCTTCTACCTCGCACCTCCCGCTCCCTCAGAGTGAGTCATTTAGTGGAAAAATTGTAGCACTTAGGGGCCAGAGGCTGACTCTCCACACATGGTGTCACAACTTGGACACTTCAGTCGCTGTAACAAAAGGAATCAGAAAACCTCATTCTTCACACAAGGGACTGTCTTAAAAATGCCTGCCAGGTGTAAGTCTGAGCGAGGACCCTATACTCCGTGGGATTGGGGCCCAAATACTCCCCTAAGTTCAAATACCAGGAGCAGGGCCTGCCTGAGGCCACCCAGAGAGTTGAGCACAGAGCAGCGTTCACCCTAACTGGCCTTCTGCCTCCAGACATCTCGGTGAGATGGGGACAGGCAACCGGGAGCCAGCTCTGACAGTTGTTTCTATCCACCTTGTCTCTGCCTGCTGAGAGCGCTGGAGCCATAGGCCTGCCTGGCAATGGGCTACCCCTGACTCACCTCAAGGCAGAGTCCGGCACTTTCCTGAGAAGGATCTGCCAGCTACTGACAGTTCAGTTTTTACATGCGGGGAATAGCAATGCCAGCCTGGGATAGGGAGAGCAGAAAACACATCATCACTGGACCCCAAAGCCAAGCCTAAAAGGAAAAGGAAACCAGCTGGCCAGTGTAATCACCTCTGGATGGTCCTGGGCTACTAAAAAGGGCAATCCTGTGGGTACTAATAAGAGTGGAAGGGTATGCCATGGGGTGGGCATGCTGGACCTGGCACAATATCCAAACAGTGATTGGTGGTAACCTTTTGCCAACTGAGTCCCTTCTTTGTGTGTGTCCCTTTCTTCTAGTGCTCTTTGGCTACTAACTGAGCCAGGCTCCATCAAGGCCCTGGGGACCCAGGAGGAAACAAGATAAACATGGCCCCCGCCCTCATGGGGCTGTGGCTAGTGCAAGAAAGGGAGTAAGCAAGTGAACAGATGGGCAAGTTTTGAGGGAGTGAAGAAAGCAAAGGCAGGAGGCGGGGGCGGAGAGGGGCTTTAGGCATGGGGTTGCCCAGTAAGGTGACAATGAGCCTGGCAGCCAGTGCGAAGAGCAGGGGTTGGTCACACTGGGAACAATGAGTACGGTGGCTGTCGGGCAGAGCCAAGCCTAGACTCTGGCATGGAATGGGGAGGGCAAGGGGGGCTGGGACTGATTTTAGTCTAGATGGTGAAGCATCTCAGTCTAGCAGGGCTATCCTGGGCTCTGAGGCTCATTTCTAAAGAATTCCAGGTGGATGGCTCTGTGAGGGCTTTCAAAGCAGGCAGCCAGTGAGAAGATTCACAAGTATGGAATTTAGGGGGGGTAGGGTGCCATTGGAAACCAGAGGAGGCAAGGGTGGCAACTTTGGGCGTGGTTCATTCCCCATTAATTCACACTGACAGAGGCTGTCCCCATTTTCAGCTGAGAAGGTATGGCTTAGAGCAGTGGTTCTCAACCTGTGGGTCACGTCCCCTTTGGGGAGTCGATCAGCCTTCTCACAGGGGTCATGACCCCTTTGGTGAGTTGACCGGCCCTCTTACAGGGGTTGCCTAAACACAGACATTCACATTACGATTCACGATTCACGACGGTAGCAAAGTTACAGCTATGAAGTAGCAACAGAAATGTTCACGACAAATGTCCGGGTCACGACAACCTGAGGAACTGTATTAAAGGGCTGCAGCGTCAGGAAGGCTGAGAGACACTGGCTTACGGAGTGGCCAAGGCCAGTTTGGGGTCATAAGCCTGTCTCGAGACCTTATTTGTGCAACCACTCCTCTACCCTGCCTCTGAAGACCTGCCTCCTGAAGCCTCAGCCTGCCACGATTCAGAGGCCAGAGAGAAGGGTAGAGGCATTGGGAGGAGCTCTCTAGAGAGGATGCTGGCCCTGGAACAGGAAGATGGACTTGGCAAGCACTCTTACGTGATATTCCTCTCTAGGCTTACATCCTCTCTGGAACATTTTTTTGGGGGGCAGATGCCACTAAGCCATCTCTGGTCCGAAGGACGGACGAACGGGCCAGTGTCTTGCTGGGATGTTTCGTTCAAGGTTACCAAGTCAAACAACATTCCCTTGGTCCTGAGAGCCCCAGAACCCTGAGTCCAGCATTTAGCTTGCCGTCTGAGCAGATCCTGCTAGACCAAAGCTAAATGCATCTGAATGACTCTCAGATGGAAACCCTTCTACCCTAGGTGTCTGGGGCCTGAAATCAGATCTTCCTGTGTAGCAGGCAAGAAGGTTGTGCACAGGGCATCTGCCATCTCCCTGCCTCCTCCCCCCAATCTTGCTGAGGCTGTCTTCATTTAGAAGGAGAGCCTGGGCTGGGCAGGCCGGAGCAGCCCTTTTCACACCAACCTGTTAGACCAGTTTTAATCCAAAGCAGGTTACCCTTGGCCTCCCCGCCCCTCTCTGGCTCAGTGGAGCAGCACAGCCAGCCAACTAGGGGCACCCCAGTGGTCACTGCGGGGCAGCAGGAGAGGGATCTTTGTCTGGGACACAAGCTAGAGGAGGTCCCTGGGGGGTCAGCTCTGGCCAGACGGCAGAGAAGAGGGTGAGTAGGGAGTGGCTGGGCCTGGCTTTGGGGGAAAGCCAAGTACATGGGAGCCAGCATTCATCTCTGAGCTGGAGATGATGCAGCCCACTGAGGGCAGAAGGAGGCCAAAGCTGTCTACTCAGAGGAAGGACCATGGTCTCCATGACCCTAGCCTAGTTGAAGCAAGCAGAGCCCAGGGTGCAGTTAGGTAGCCTAGGGAAAGGCTGGGGAAACTTGGGGCTACCACAACTCCTCCAAGCAGCCCTCCAGGACTGCTCCACCCACACAGGAACTTACTGTTCTCCAAACATATTCCGATGGCGTGGTTGAAGGGGGCATGGCCTCTAGCAGATGCTTTCCAGAAGCAGAACCCTGCTTTGGGGATTTCCCCAACCCTAGCACCAATAAACCAGACCAGACTTTTCCTGTCCCCAGACATGGGCTCTATTTCCACCAGAGATACAGATTTCAGTTCCCACCGGTGTAGGCAAGGCTCTGTTCTCGGTGCCTGTCAGCTCTCAGCCTCTTCCTGAGAACGTTTTATGCTCCCCTCTGCGCACATCAGAGAGAGAGAGAGAGAGTGAGTGTGTGTTTGTGTGTGTGTGTGCGTGCGCAAGTGTGTGTGTTAGTGTGCGTGTGTGTGTGTGTGTGTGTGTGTGTGTGTGTTTGCCAGCGTGCCCGTGGTGCTGACCTTTCCCCTTGGCCAACATTCCTCTGTTTTTCTTCAGCTGCTTCCAGGGGACAGTTTGGTAGGAGGAGCCATAGAGGAGAGATGTCCTCGGGGAAACTTTTCCTCAAAGCTCAGAGCCACCAAGGCCTACACAGATGGAGATGGTCTTCCCGGTAGCCTGACATGGTGATGAGGCCTCCTGGAAAGGTGTGCTATTAACCCTGGCACTCGGGCGCCTGTGCCCCTGGGAGCTTGCCAGCATGAGTCTGGTATCGACAGGGTAGGCTCGGCTTTGACAGGCGAAGCCGGGTGGCCCCAAGCAGGCTGCTTTTATCATCCTGACACACGCGTTCTCGTCACGGCCAAAATTCTGGGTTTACTCTCTGTGGGATCCGTTTGCTCTGGGTCCTACTCGAGAGGTGCCCGGGCTAGGTCTACACCGTCCTGTACCTTTGCACTTGGGAGTCAGCCGGTCATTATCCGGGTTGGGGGGTGTGGGCTTTGGGCACACCGGCACCCGCTTCCAGCAGCTTGACCATCCCCACTTTCTCTCCTGAGTCTCAGCGTTAC